CTGCATTTCCATGTAACTCGGAGGGAGGTCTGTGTCGGGGAGTCTCAGCCGCCATGAGAGGGACGCTGTGTCGCCGGGTGTCTGACCCCAGTGCTGGGGTCGGAGAGGCCTGGGGTTGAAGCGCGACCCTAACAAAGCATCGTAGGCCGGGGGCAGGGAGGGGGGACACTTAAACAACAGAGAATTATTTCCTCGCAGTTCTGAAAGGTTGGTTTCTCCTGGGCGTGCAGATGGCCGCCTCCGTGCTGTGCCTTCATGCGGTCTCTCCTCCGTGTGCGTCTGCACCCTAATCTCTTCTCGTAAGGACCCCAGTCCTACCGGATGAGGGCACACCCCAATCACCTCGTTCGAACCGAATTGCTCTTTTAAAGATCCTATCTACAAATAAGGCAACACCCTGCGGGGGTGAGGGCTGGGGCTTCAACATGTGAGTTTTGGAGGAGGACACAATTCAGCTTGTGACACCTTGGGCCAGCATACTCCAACCACGTCGATCCTCAGTTTCTTCATCAATAAAATGGGGCTAACGACTGTATTCATCTACGTCGGATATTAGGGTGTGACCAAATCAAATACTCCCCATGAAGCACGTTGCCCAGCGCCCGGCCCCTAGAGCAAACATGCGGATGTCACTTACGGATGTTCCTTCCACCTGCGGGTGGTCCTACGCTTCGGAACATTGTTTCCCACAGATGGATGTCTGGATGATATAAAGGGAGGGCACCTGTCCCTTTCCCCGATAGCGCGATTAACTTTTTCAGGCAAGTTCCCAGAGGGCAGTTGCTGGGTCCAGGGTGCAGGTGCCAGCCTGTCCCCTGACAGGGCACTTGTGCCCACCGAGCCCCATCCCTAGGCCCTCATCCTCCAAATTCCCCGATGTCCTGTCTGAGGCTCCCCTCCCTGAGGCCCAGCAGAGACCCTCGGCTGGTGCCCAAGGCCCCCCGAGCTGGCCCCACAGCCCTCTCGCCTCTGTCCTCGCCACCCTCCTGCTTTGCAGCCCCCGGGGCTACCTGCTTTCTGAACACAACTTGTACCTTCAGGCCTCCGAGGCCGTGCCCTGGCGGTGCCCTCCCCAGGGATGCCTGTCCCTCCATGTCCTCCTGGAGGAGGCACCTGTGCCTTCCAGGGGCCAGTAAGGCCTTCTCCACGCACTCCTTTAATGCCCCTCCCCCATCTCCCCACAGGAGCCTAAACCATGTGCTGAGCTGTGGTGGAATGAGGATGATGGTAGCAATGATGATGGCTGTCCTCCCCCCCCCCACCCCACACACACACCTGATCCCAGGGTTCCCGGAGGGCAGAGATGAGTTCCTTCTGCGGTAGAGCAGGGGACTCAGACAAGTGACGGTGCCTGGCACAACTTATCCTGCAGGAACAGACCTGCTCGGGTTACATGGATGGACGGGTAAGGGGTGCCAGGTTAGGGAATGGCATGAGAAGAATGGGTGGGGTGGGTGGGGGCAGTCATCAAACACTATGCATTGTGGCCCTGATCATGGAACCTGTACCCGAGAATGTCAACAGGTGAAGCAGAGTCTGGAAGGGAACACCTGTCGGTTCACAGGGGCCATTCCAGAGGCGGGAAGCATGGGGACTCCATAGTAGTGGCTTTCAAACATTTCTGATCTCTCAGGAGAAATACATTTCCCATCAGCCACCTTGTGTGCACGCACACACACACACACACACACACACGCGCACACACACTCCTGAAACAAAAGTTTCGGAAACCGTAGTTACCCCAGGTGAAATGTAGACTGGTATTTACACTGTGCTGGTTCTGCTTCAGCCCTTCCGAATGCCTGACTCGTAGGCAATCTAATAAACTGACTCCACGGCCCACCGCTGAGTCTGGCTCGCAGTTTGAAAAATCCTGCTCTAAAGCGAGGCTTGCACTTTCTGCCCCGTATCCTCCTGTGTTTAAAATTTTGTATATTGAGAACAGGTCTGTGTGTTATCTTCACATTTTTTTTTTCTCCACTTAAAAATAAGGAGGAGAGAGCACTGGGAAAATACAAAACAATAAAATCAAATAGACTTTCTGGAAGGCAGTTTGGCAAAATATGGCAGAGCAGACATCTTTAAAGACCTGCAGCGCCTGGCCCCAGCGATTTCACTTTAAGAAACGTGCCGGCGGGAAAGGTGCGGGGCTGAGCAGGGCGGGAGCTGCTTCTTGGATTTTGTTAGTGGCGGCAATGAGACCCCCCTCACACCACAGCCGGCGGGCACCCCTGGCGGCCCTTCCCTCCTGTGGCCTGGAGCCCTTCAAGACTTATTCACCGACTTGGAAAGAGGGGTGTGCAGAGAGTGGGGTACCAGGAGCCCAGAGTTAATTTCGGGCTACAAAAGGCTGATCCCACACTTGTTTTTTAAAAAACATCTTTATGAGTGTAGGGGATGGGGGGAGGCAAGTCTGAAAGTGCGCACACCGTCGGTGGCCTTGGGCGGGCTTTATTTTCTTTCTCCCACCTTTCTGTGACTTCGGCAAGGAACGCGCGTTATTATTTTTATATGGAGGGGAGATTTGAAAGGAAAAGAGAGAAAGAGAAAGAAAGGAAAGGAAGAAAAAGAGGAGGAAAAAGAAAGAAACGGAGAGAGAGAAGGGAGAGAGGGAGGGAGGAAGACGGAAAAGGTGGCGAAGGTGATGGTGATGGTGGTGGTGGGGGGCGGTGCAGGCATCCCCTGGGGCGACGAGCACGCCGGTCGCATGGGCAGTGGCGGGAGCCGCAAGTCCCAGCGCCAGGTGCTCAGCGTTCCGCTGCCAGTAGCCGGGGGAGGCCCAGGGACCAGCCCCGCGGGGAGAGCAGGTCGCTCTGAGCATCC